ATATATATATATATAGGGAGAGGTTCAAATAAAAACCTCACTATCCTAAAAACTAAAAACCAATCCTCTCCATTGGATCTAGATTCATCCAATGGCTGAGATTATAAGACTATTACAGCTGCATAAGGGTAAAATTGGAACAATTCACTACATTAATGGTGGCTGGCAACATTGGAAACAATTCACTACATTAATTGGAACAATTCACTACATTAATCCAACACGTCCTTTAATACTCTCTTTTACAGCACGTCCTTTAATACAACACGTCATTTAATACTCTCTGTAACTCACTTCCATCTTCTATCAAGATTTGATCTTCCATCTTCGCATGAAGAATACAACAACAATTCATTAAAAATCATCCTAACCATCCAAGCTTTCGCTGGAGTGAATCTGGATTATATTGAAGCTCGATTCATTGGAGTGAATCCAGATTCACTGAATTGAATCCAGATTCAGTGGACTGAACTCGTTATCAAACAATAGCAAATCTGCAAAAATAAAAAACAAAAAGAATAAAAACTTATGGTAAAAAAACAAGCTATAAAATTTTAAACCATGATAAGATTTCACATTTTATAGCAAAAAGTTACGATTTTTATGGTAAAAAACAAACACCTCACATAACTGAATCTGGATTTACTGTAGTAAATCTAGATTCACTCATGCGTTTATTTCTTCGAACTTACAGCACATGCATTTATTTCTTCAACAATTCATTAAAAACCATCCTAACCATCCAAGCTTTCGCTGGAGTGAATCTGGATTCACTCCAGTGAATCTGGATTCACTCCAGTGAATCTGGATTCACTCCAGTGAATCTGGATTCACTCCAGTGAATCTGGATTCACTCCAGTGAATCTGGATTATATTGAAGAATAAGAAACTTATGGTAAAAAACAAGCTATAAATTTTTAAACAAAAAGAATAAGAAACTTATGGTAGAAAACAAGCTATAAAATTTTAAACCATGAAAAGATTTCACCTTTTACAGCAAAAAATTACGATTTTTATGGTAAAAAACAAACACCTCACATACTGAATCTGGATTCACTGCTGTGAATCGAGATTCACTGCAGTGAATCTAGATTCACTTATGCGTGTCTTCGTTTTTCAACTGGTTTCTTCAAAAAATAAAAAACTTTTCAGACTAAAAGGTGAAATATTTCACCTTTTACAACAAAAAGCTACGATCTTTAAGATTAAAACTAAAACTTTTAGATGAAAAATCAAACAAATTTCAGAAACTTACCATTAAAGCGTCAAAATAATTTAACAGCCCACTGAATCATGAAGACGAAGGTTGAAGAAGACCGTGAAGACGAAGCGTCAAAATAATTTCATAAACCATGAAGACGAAGGTTGAAGAAGACTGTGGATAAAGAGATGTTGAAGACAGAGAGAGTTGCTGTGATTTTGGGGAGAGAGAGAGAGAGAGAGTTGCATGGGGAAATGGAGAACTCAATAGAGAAGCATTAATGACCTTTCTTTAGTGGACTGCTTATTTTACCTAATTATCCTTATGCAGCTTTAATCTCAGCCATTGGATGAATCTAGATCCAATGGGTGTACTTCACATGCCAAATTCCAAGCCAAAGAAATCTGAGCAAAAAGAAAGGCCTTGGTGTTAAAATTAGTGTTTTTGGATTCATGCATCATCTGTTCCTGCACAAAAATATATGCAGCTAGTTTTTAAATGGGTAAATTTCACAAAACTACTTTGAATTTTGGGGGTTTTGCGTAAACTACCATTAATATTTTTATCAAAGAAAACTATCAATGAAAAGCAGCATGAACTATTGGAAATTATTGCTAACGGCCTTAAGGGATTGAGTTAAAGGTGTAAACTACCTTGAACATAGGAAAGGGGAAAGGTAATATGAAGACAAAAATGTTCAGTACGTGTCACAAAAGAACATAATAAATTACCCTAGTATTCCTTAAAAAAAACAAATTACCCTAATTAGGCATGATAATTTAGTGAAAGAAAAATACATTGTAGTTTTTTCTAATGAAAGAGTATATTAGTTTGTGTAGGACCTCTTAAAGTTCATGTTACTTTTGTGAAATTTACGCTTTTTGATCATCTCACTGTTTATTCTATATCAAGTCCAGATTGCTGGGGGGTTGTGCGATAATCTACTGACATGCATCGTTCGGGCATGGGACTACAACAAGCCTTTCTATGTTGCACCAGCCATGAACACATTCATGTGGAACAATCCGTTTACAAAACTCCACCTTGAAACAATAGACAAGCTCGGTGTGTCGTTAATCCCTCCCATCACCAAGAGATTGGCTTGTGGTGATTTTGGTAACGGCGCGATGGCTGAGCCTTCTCAGATTTATACCACAGTGAGGCTCGCTATGAAACCGAAACCAGTACATGGGTCTAGTTAAGTTTTCATCATCATGCTGAAGTGATACTTTGGTTGCCATCAAAGTTCCGTGTGTAATTGGCTTATGCGTTGTTTGTTAATGACACTGCATAAAGTCTTGAGGACTACAGTAATTCTTGTCATGTAAGATGTAAGCATCAAGTCTGTGGATGTAGTAGCATGCATCCACAGTGTCTCTGTCCATTTTTCCTACAAGAGGCTGATAATTTGTAATTTCTTGTTGGGATTCAGTATTTTAACTTTTTTTTAAAAAGCATAAATTTAAGTTTTTGTGAGGTACATCAAACTGCAAAGATATTTCTCTGGGGTTCTCCTTTTTTATTGTGGAGAGTGTGGTTGATGGATTGATGTTGAGAAAGGGAGAGCTAGTTGGGGGGGTTCTCCTTTTTTATTGTGGAGAGTGTGGTTGATGGATTGATGTTGAGAAAGGGAGAGCTAGTTGGGAATAAATTTTATCCGAAACTACGAAAACGCCCTTCGAACTATATTCCGCCTGAATCCGTCAATATTTTTAAGATTCCGTGAAGATTCTTTGGGGGGGGAGCCCAATTGTGGATAGACACGCGTAGTTGTATTCTTGTTGCATAATAAATTAATAACCTCTTTGACCGACATTTTGTGACTCCTTTTTCTCTAGAGAAAGAGAATTATTTTTCGACAATTAGATCTTCAAAAGGTAAAAGAGTCAAAAAATAATTTCACTCAAGGAGTCTCTCAGCAACAATGCGGTCTATTTGCAATTGGGCGTTAGTACCGGGGTCTATCCGTAATTAACCATAGTATCAACCGCAACCCATCTCTCTCCGCTGCCATTCTGATATAGTGACAAGTGATTCTCCAGCACGATACAAGTTACCATGACAGTATCAAGTATATTCCTCAATCAAAACCCTTTTCTGTTCTCTCACAGCAAGTTTCATGTTTACTTGCAGATAATAAACAAAATCTAGGATATATACAGAGAGGATATAAAGGGGTGTTTGGTTCAATTTCTAGAAATTATAGGAAATATTTTCCACCCAAAATATGATTTCCTTGTATTTCTTAAAAAAATTATAGGAAAAGTTTTGAGAAGTTAAAAAATACCAATTTTCTTATTTTTTATATTTTGCTTGTTTGGTTCAAAACAAGAAAATGGCTCATAACTTTATAGAAAATGGGTATGGGACAAGTTTTGTTGATTAAATAAGGAATGTGTCAGATTTCCTGTTGATTTCCTCTCGTTTTGAGAGGAAATTGCTTTATGCAAAATTTGGTAGTTTTTGATATTTTATAGAAAATATTTCTATAATTTTTTTGTTGAACCAAACACAATTTACAGAAATCTATGAAAAACTTTTAATTACAAAATTATCATTATCAGATATTTTGAGAAAAGTTTTCTCAAAAAGTGTGCAACCAAACAGCCCCTAAGCCTATAGACTTCAGAATCAGCAAGCCGAAAATAGAAACTATAGTGTAACTTTGTCAATAGTAGGAGAAGAAATTAGGGGAGGGAAGATAACAAATGGACGCTTTAATAGAAAGTTATTAGTTACTTCAAATAAGGTAAGATGGAGGAACAATGTCCATCTACTCAGTGATTGACCCTTCTCTTATTTTTTATTTGGATTCGAATCTTCTCGATTACTAAAATTAGTAAAGAAATCATTGTTTAATCATAACTATTATTTTTTCGCTTTTATAAAGGAAGTGGTTTTTTCGACATCGTCTTTATATTTCAATATATTTTTTATCTCTATACCGAAAGGAAGGAAGAAACTAGTATTACTATTATACAAGAAAACGTTGCCCCTCTTTCAACGTCTTCGGATAAATCGAGATAAGGCGATGGTATACTGATTTACTCTGAGTGTGATGTACCAAGAAATTTTTCGCATTATTTATGTTGAAGTATCTTGTTTCTTATACTGTGAAAATACAATGTATATATGTACAAAAGTAAGAATTTGTCCTGCTTAAATTCTTTGTACATCTCCGAGTTACGTTAACCTATAAATTTGTATAAATTTATGTAAATTTGTCGATCTTGTTGTTTATTTTGGTATTTTGACCTCTATGGTGTAAGATCAGAGACCATAAAAAATGGGTATTCAGTATTTAACTTTTTTTATGAAAAGAAAAAAACTAAAGATTTCTGTCACGTGCATCAAACTGCTAATATATTTATGAAATTATATCAAAGCAAGAGTTGCACATCCTTTTCAGAACTTTATTGAAAACATGGAAAAATTATCCTTTGCTCTGTTTTGACATAGGATGTCGTAAAAGCGAAATAGACTTTAATTAATGTCAATTCATGAGAGCAACATCCCACTTGTTTGAACAAACTTCATTATTCTATTCCTCCTCTAAGACAGCAGCAATTTTGAGGCCTTTTGGTTTATCAACTCTTTACCATCTCATAGATTTGTAAGGCATGCAACCATTTACATTAAAATAAAGATGTTATTGGATACAAAGGAAACCTTGACAAAAAGTTGTCCTGCCTTCTATTTTCACACTTTATACAATTATGGTAACTTGTTGGCTCACTTTGAAAGATTTAAATGACCATATTTTAAACTGAAAGAGTCAAACTATAGAAAATATGAGGGAGTGCGCATCACGTCTTGTGTAGTTATGACTTGATTACGTGGCGCTGCATTAAACTATAAGTTCATATGCAAAGTTTTAATTTATTTTCGTCACTCCATCTTCATACACTCTCATCTATGTAAATATTTACATAAATTTGTTCTATCAATGACATTTAGGCTCATGCTTTTTCCTAAAAGAAAGGGTCTAATTTAAAAATACGAAGATATGAAGTCTACAATTAATGAAGATTTGGGAGTCTAACACGACAAATACCCCCATAAACTAACATACTTGGCGCTTTTTGCACTCATTTCTCCACTCAAGCTGAATCTCCCAAATCTCTGCTACTGGAAAAATAAAAATAAAAATTAAAAATTAAAAAAATAAAATAAATGGGTTCGTGGAATTCGGTTTCGATGGAGGTTTTGTACCAAGTACTTGGATGGATTGCCTTCTTCTCGTGGTCCTTTAGCTTCTATCCTCAAGCTATCCTCAATTATAGGAGAAAAAGGTTTGGATCCCGTTGACTTTGTCCCTGTACTCAACAAGATTGGATTTTGATTGGATTTATTTCGTTTTTGGAATATTTTGGATCTGTGTTTCCTTCACACGGACGTTATTGTAAGCTGATTGATCAGTGGTTCGCGTAGAGCTTATCTTCTGCTCTCTGTGTTTTCATTGTTCTGACCTAATTTCTCTTTAATTGAAGGGGTTAAAGTTCTATTTGTTTATGGGCACCTCTTATTCTTTAGTAATTTTGGGTATCACTTAACGTTGACTGATTGAATTTTATTAGGATATTTTAGATTTCTTGCTCTGAAGCAACGTTTCTTCATCATCTCATCCTTTACTCTAAATGTGCAAGAACCCATTAAGAAATTTACCAAGTTTATATTGATTAGGATATGGATCTCACAGTGAGAGCTTGGAGAAAATTATAAAAGATTAGTGCGTGGATGGAAAAATTCTTACCCGATTGGCCATGCGTTTTTAAGCTTATGCAACTTGAGAGAAATCCCTTCTCATTTAATTTTAGTCGGACTGAGGTTTAGAGGAAGGAGAGATTATAGATTTGAGATATGAAATTGCATTAAGCTCAAGAGTATAGTCTAACCCAGCAAAGAGCGAAAAAGAAACAATCGTTGTTAGTATATAAATGATGAGAAAAGTAACTCTCTTGCTTAATAATGAACGATACAAAGGTTTATATACAAATACCTAATGGGCCTAAACTAGATACAGACCCGATAAGATACAGACCCGATACATAAGTGTCCTATACAATATACTCAACACCATCCCTCAAGTTGGCGCATGCAAGTTGTGTATGCCCAACTTGGCCAAAAGAAACTCAAACTGCTGTCTGCCCAATGGTTTAGTGAAAACGTCTGCTAACTGAGATCCCGTGGGTACATGTGAAGTAGTGATGACCCCCTCCAATATAGCATCTCTCAGAAAGTGACAATCCACCTCAATATGTTTCGAACGCTCATGAAAAACTGGATTCTGAGCTAAATGCAGGGCTGACTGACTGTCACAACGCACCTGCATAGGCCCCTTTGTATCGATCCCAAGGCTCTGGAGAAGTCCCTTGAGCCACTTCAATTCACAGGTTACTTTCGCCATTGCTCGATACTTCGCTTCTGATGAGGACAATGAAACTGTAGCTTGCTTCTTGCTCTTCCAGGATATAGGAGATGCCCCAAGAAACACCATCCAGCCAGTCACTGATCTCCGTGTTGTAGGACAAGCTGCCCAGTCTGAATCACACCATCCTGTCAGCTTCAAGTCACACTTTCTCGGCAGAAGTATTCCTTGTCCTGGACTCCCTTTCAAATATCGAACAACTCGTAATGCTGCTGCCCAATGATCCTCCCTTGGTGCCTGTAAAAACTGAGATAAAACATGCACGGAAAAACACAAATCAGGTCGAGTGAAGGCCAAATATAGAAGCCTTCCCACTAGGCGCCTATAGCGCTCCCCATCTGCCAACAACGGACTCTGCGAAGCTCCAAGCTTCTGGTTCTGCTCCATCGGGAATGACACAGGCTTTGCCCCCAAAAGTCCTGTCTCAGAAATAATATCCAGAGTATATTTCCGTTGACACAGAAAAATACCCTCTGCACTTCTGGCCACCTCGATACCCAAGAAATATTTGAGCTTTCCCAAATCTTTCATATGGAAGCAACCACTCAAGTATTTCTTGAACTCTGCCAGCTCAGTTGTGTTGTTTCCCGAAATAATCAGGTCATCCACATACACCAACACATTCAGCCTGATTCCCTGCTTCGAATAAGTAAACAGTGAGTAATCCGAATATGACTGAACAAAGCCATACCTGCGAAGAGCTGCTGTCAACTTGGCAAAACAGCATCTCGGTGCCTGTCTCAGGCCATACAATGACTTGCGAAGTCGACAAACCTGACCATCTCTCCCTTTACCGAAGCCTGGGGGTACTCTCATATATACCTCCTCTGTCAAATCACCATGCAGAAAGGCATTGTGAACATCCATCTGGTGCAGTTCCCAATCCTTTGCTGCTGCAACTGCTAGAAAAGTCCTGACCGTCACCATCTTTGCTACTGGTGCAAATGTGTCAGAATAGTCTATCCCCTCCACTTGATGGTTGCCAAACACAACCAACCTGGCCTTCAGTCTTTCAATCTGTCCATTCGATCGATACTTGATTTTATAAATCC